AAAAAAAACCATCAGCAAAATGAAAAGGCAACTTACTGACTGGGAGAAGATATCTGCAAATGATATATTCATTAGCAACTAATATCCAAAACATATAAAGTTATATAACTCAACACCAAAAAACACAAATAATTCGGTTAAAAAATGGGCGAGGACCTAAATAGATATTTTCCCAAAGATGACATTATAGACGGCCAAAAGACACACAAAATGATGCTCAACATCACTCATCATCACGGAAATGCAAATCAAAACTACAGTAAGAGATCACCTCACAGCTGTCAGAACAGCCAGAATTGAAGACAAGAAGTAATAAGGTACGTGAGGATGTGCAGAAAAAGGAACCCTCATGCGCCACTGGGAATGCAAACTGACACAGCCACCTCGGAAAATAGGGAAGGCCCTCAAAAAGCTAAATATAGAAATACAATACGATCCAGTAATTCCACTACTGGGTTCTTACCCTAAGAAAACAAAACACCAATTCAAATATATGCACCCCCATGTTCACTGCAACACACAACAGTTAAGGTACAGAAGCAACTCAAGTGTCCCCATACACAGGCGATGGATGGAGACGTAGTATACGTGTACACAATAGAATCTCACTCAGCCATAAAAAGGAATGAGATCTTGCCATTTGCAACAACATGGATGGACCTAGAGGGTATTATGCCAAGTGAAGTAAGTCAGACAGAGAAAAACAAATACCATATGACTCCACTTCTATATGAAATCTAAAAAGACCAGACAGACAAAACAGACCCATAATACAGAGAACTGCTGGTTGCCAGAGGTGCAGGGAGGTAGGGGGATGGGCAAAAGGCGCCAAGGGGAGTGGGAGACAGAGGCTTCTGGTCAGGGCATGACTGAGTCAGAGGGATGAAGAGTACAGCGCGGGGAAGACAGCTGATGGTGTCGCACCAGCGTTGTACGGGGACGGCAACCACACTCGTGTGAGCGTGGCATCACGGAGCTGTCAAATCACCGTTCTGTGCACCTGAAATTCCTGTTATGTCGTGTGTCGATACTGCAGTTAAAACTAAGCAAAAGCTTCTCTTTTGATAGGTAAGTTCATGTTTACTGAAATATTATGTATGGGAAAATGCACAAATCTTACCAATGTATTTTCATTCCGCTTCCCTCAGCCAAATGCAGGTCTTTCTCCATCTTCATCTGACTCCTTGTATCCACTTTCCTTAATTTTGTTCCCCTTCACACGGTTACCGGTTGTATTCCCCCAAGAAGGTATGTTGAGTCCCAATCCCCAGTATCTTAGAATACAACTTTATTTGGAAATAGGGTCTATGTAGATCTAATCCAGACAAGACGAGGTCAGGGGCGTGGCTAATCCAAACGTGACAGAACTCCTTCCACAAAGGGGAACCTGGAGGTGGAGGGAAGAGGACGTGAAGATGGCCACGCAGTGACGGACTCAGACTGGAGCGATCTAGGTCTAGAAGCCAAGCAACACCAAAGGTCGCAGAAAGTCTGTGAGACGATGAGTTTCTGCTGTTCGAAGCCACCAGTCCATGGTGCTTAGTTGCGGCAGCTCCCGGAAACATGGCAGAGTCATGCTCACTGGATGCTTTAAACCTACTTTCTACTATAAATCTTTATTTCACCTGCGGTCCCCACCGGACTGTGAGTTCCATGAGGAACCCTAAGTTCCTTTTACCCTCTGCTGTGTCCCGGTGCTTAAGACAGCATGCGGCACGGGGGTCACGTCAGTATTCGCTGTAATCCAGAGAAGATGCCGACATGTTACAAGATCAGACATATACATGGAGGAGAGGTAGAGCTATTCTTGGTCTCAAATAACAGAAAACAGGACTCAAGGTAGTTTGAGTAGATACAAATTTATTTTTTTACATAAAAGCCCAGCGGTCAGGAGTCCAGGACTCTGGCAGCACCTGACGTCCTAAGGACCTGCGTTCTATCCAGTTCTGGTGTTCACTTTGGCCCCGGTGGTCAAAGAGAGCCTCTATACTTTTGGGGGTCACCTCCACATTCCAGTGGAGGAGGGGGACAGAGCCACGCCAGCTGCTCTCTGACCCTTTCTACTGAGAACCTCCTTGGCAGACTGCCTCCAGCATCTCAGCAGGCACAACTCTCCTGGAACCACCCAGCTAAGGCGCTGAAGATGTGGCTGAGCACTGAGCCCTCCCGCCACGCAAGAGGAAGAGCTGAAGGAGCGGTATCCGGAGTGTCTGACTCGGTGGTGCTGTGGCTCCGTTGGAAGGATGAATGTCAAGAAATGTGTTGGGATAACTGGCTAGACAGAATGGGAAAACCAGGTCCCTACATTACACCCTACACAAAAGTTAATTTCATAATTACATACTAAATTTGAACAGCAAAATTTTTAAACCTTTGGGGGAAAAAAGTCTTTGGAAAAGAGTGAATGACATTAAAATGCAGACTGTATATCACATGACATCATTAGAAAAGGAAAAAGATAAGCATACTGAGCTGTTTCTACAAAGGACACAACCTAAGGACCATATGACAACTCACACACAGCAACCAGAAAAAGGGAGGGGCAAAAAAAAATCAAACGACCATGGAGGAAATACAAATGGATTTTGATTTTGAAGATAACAAAAATCAACCTGACTGGTAGAGAAATGCAAATTTAAACTTCTACACTTATCGGACTGTCAGAAAGTACACAATGACAACAGCCAGTGTTAAGAAAGGGCCAGAGGGAATCTCTATCACCAGGTGGGAGAAGAATGGATACAGCCCTCTCCAGAGAACAATGGGACATCTAGTAATCCTGGAACGCAACTAAATCTGCCCAGCAGTTCCTGTGCACTTGTGCCTGGATGGAGACGTGCTCAAGAATGGTCAGAGGAGCATTCTCAGAGCCAAACACCTGGAAACCACCCAAACATCCAACAACAGCCAAAGGCAGAAACTGGAGTCCACTCAAGGCCCACCCTGAGCTACATGTAATGCAAAGATTCACAAAAATGTTGAATTTTAAGATCCAAGAATACATCTGTGTGCCATTTGTAACTTTTAAAATGCAAACTACTACTATGTATCTCCACGGTAACATTTTTAAGAAACACTTGAAAAAAAATCAGAACCTGCAGCAATCGCCTTCAAAAGGAGGGCTCGTACTCAGGGCAGGGGGACAAGGAGGGATGCAAGTGTGTCAGCAACGCTTTATTTCTCATGTTGCACAGCAAGTACAAGGATACACATTCATATTTATCTTTTGTATGATGAAATAACTCCATTTTTAAATCCATGTGGCAAAAATCGTGGATTACAGCAGCATGATCCCACATGTGTGAGAAAGCAGATGTGAAAGCACACATCGAACCTTCTAGGGAAGCACCTCCAGGTATAAACTCTGAAAGGGATGCAAAGAAGACGCTAACAACCAAGAAGAGAGCACAATCACTTCAATCTTTGCCTTCAAATCACTGGTCTTACACCTACTGATTCCCAAGCCTAGAACCTCATCCTAATCACCCAGTGTGGTTATTTCAAAGCAGCCCTTCCTGGGCCGCACTGCGCCCCCCACCCCCCGCCACTCCAAAGAAAACACTGTCCTTGCCCACACCCCATTGACTCCTCAAACCCAAACTAGAGAACACAGAGGTCGGACTTTTGTTCTCTAGTTGACTCCAATGTGCAACCAAGGGCCAGAGCCACATCGTCCAGGGTGCCACCGTGCCTCATCATTCAGGAATTCAGGGAGGCCCTGAGGGGCCAGAATGAAAGGCCAAGTGTGGTGCGTGTGGTGCTGATGTTGGTGGCCGTAGCAGCTGTGGGGGGTTCCAGACCCCAGCCCTCAGGGTGGACATGGTGCTCCCCCTGGGGGAGGGAAAGGCTCGGGGAGACAGGAGCCACCCAACCTAGTGGATTTCCGGTGTCTGAACTGATTAAGTGTTGTGGAGAGAGATGAGTTAGTATGCGTCACCTGCTCAGAACCACGCTTGGCATGTAGTAAGCACTCAAAGTTAGCTACTTCCCAAGTAAAGAAACAGTTTGGGGGTTAAGTGAGCTCAGTAAAATATTTCAGTAAAGAAGATCATGTTTACTCTTACAGCTTCATGAATGGTCTCCCAGCCCCATGAGAAGGAAACACAGCTCAGACATGTCTCATTGCAGTCTTGTAAACAATCTCTCGACGTCTGACCCACGAAGGATGTGTCCTACATGTGCAGAGAGCACATGGAGAAGGACAAGAGAACGTGAACAGCTGCTCGACAAAGAGCTCAGGAGAGTGAAAGATTAACAGGAAAAGGAAGTTCTTCCTCCTCACTTCATCTACTTCTATCCACCTGCGAGAATCTAATCAAGAATATCAATTACAAAAAGCCTGGTTCCAACAGGAAGACAGAGTTGCTCTCGCTTTTAAGATGGAGACTCGAATGTGACTTAGGAAGATGCTGAAGATGGTTCTAGAATGGATGAAAACACACTGTTCTGTGGCAGAGTCAGCGGCATCCAAGAGCAGTCTGGAGAGCAGAGGCAGGCCATGGCCAGGACAGACCGACCCATGAAAGCTGCCAGATAAGGGTGCTTTCCCTCCAGCTGCTGGCTTTCTTCTACTCCCTCTGCCATCTTTCTCCCCTCAGAACACCCCAAAGGGAATACTGACCCTAGCCTGTCCTCCTGAGCCCATGAATCCCTTCCAGATCTTCCTGAAGCCCCCTTAGCCAGAGTTCCCTCGAGTTCACTTGCGCTTAGGTCACAGCCTCCATGTGGTACCCCACATTCTACCCTGGCTGAAGCCTTTCACCCAGAGGCTCAGGGCACATGGGAGACAGCACAGGGCCCCATCCCCTCACTTGCTATGTGACACTTGGCAAGTTTCGCCTGACCTCCTAGAGCTGTGCTTCCCCACCTGGGAATGAGAGCATGGCACTGGCCTCCTGGGGCTGTGTGGCAGGGCCGAGGGGTGGAGGGTGAGAGCCATAAAGCACTGGCCACTTGGAAGTTACTTGAAGAAAAAGAGAAGCATGCCCCTTAGGACAGTCACACAGCTGAAGTTGGTTGTTTCACTTTATTTAGCCAATGGTCACCCTCTGAGCCCTACCAGATTGCTCCTCCAGCCTCACTCAAGGGTCTGCCTTGGGAAGCAGCTCAGAGGGCAACTGGGAAGGCCCAGGTTCCCCAGTCAGCCTCCTCTTCCACCAACACACCCTGCAGAGAACAAAATCACTGCTCATGTCCTCAGGCACCCACCCTAATGTGGTTGAGGGGCCCTCCAGTGTTCAAGAGCCTGCCAGGGCCCAGCTCCAGGCACAGCTTCCTTCCTGCTCCTGAGATGCTGGCAACGGGCGAGGACCTCTGTCCCCAGCTGTGGGGGTGCCAAACCCTATTCCCTAGCCCTGCAGCCTGTCCTTGCTGGGCAAGAAGCAAAATGTACGAAAATACTTTTAATCATTTCTTTGAAACAGTTAAGAAATAAGGTCGTCTTATTTTTCTTTTACAATCCCAGTAAAAAAAAAGTTCACATTAGTGCTGGGGCCCAAAACTAGGCCCTTCCCCGGAGCAGAGCACCGGCCACTCAGTAGAAGCGTTTGTTCCGCTCCTGCCGCTTCTGAAACACCACAGCCCCAACCACGGCGCACACGATGATCCCCAGCAGCGCACAGAGCAGCAGCAGGAACACCCGCCACCCCGTCAGCGGCCCGCTGCGGAAGTTGCCGGTCGGGTCATCCACGTTATCTGGGGGAGAAGAGAGGGGAGCTGCAGTGGCAAAGTGGAGGCAGCAGGCAGGCTCCCAGGAGATGGGGGAGTCTGAAGGGATGGAGCCGAGCGACAGGCCACAGTCAGCCCTACAGGGGAAGCTGTGGCCTGCTCACAGCCCTACTGGTGAGGGACGGTGAGGGACGGGGATGGATGGAGGCAGAATCGCACTAGGACCTAGCTTCCCAGGGATCAAGGCCCCAGGAGCCTTCTGCTGCAAGAAGCTAGTGAAGGCTGGGATTCCTGGCCTCCCCAGGAGAGCCTGAGTCTGCACAGGGCAGGCCCAAGATCTGTGTTCACAAAACCCCGCCCCAGCCCCTTGCAGTGGCCCAAGGCCCCCCTCTGGAAGAACAAAGCTCTGGCCAAAGGCTGCCCAGACTCACACCTGGATGCTTTCCACGACTCCTTGGGGTTCTCCCAAGCCCCCCACCCCCTGTCCTTCTGCTCCAGCCACACTACTTCTCTGCCTGCTAACACCATCAACAACGCTGTGGGGAATGAGGCCCTGCCACATTAGGTATCTCCTGGAATTCCAACCACATTGGGATGGGGAACTCTTGATCTCCCTTTTATAGGAGGCTGACGGAAGGAACAAACTGTCAAGTTCATCAGTCTGTGGTGAAGGGACTCAGGTCTGGACTCAGGCCCTTCTGCCCTGTGCAGCCTGGGCCCCGTTCCTGCCACTTGGCCTCCCTCCGCAGCCACAACCCCCTACTCCTTACTGTGGGGATTACTTGGGGCCTCCTCCCAGCCAGGCCTGAATGCCAGCCAGGAGCCAACTTACATCCTCCTCTCCCACACAACCTGAACAGGGCAGGCCTGCTGACATGGTCTTAACACCAGCCTCTCTCCTTCTCTTGCCTCAGTCACTAGACTTAGCCCCAGGACAGCCCACAGCTAGGCACCGAGTGGAATTTCTGGAACCATCTGCTAAAGGAATGAAAAGAGCAACAAATCTGCAAACTAGTTAATCCCTACGTGGCCAACCTCCTAGGGCTGCTGGGTAGGTCAGAGCAGATTAGGTCTCCAAAAGCCCTCAGCAGCCAAAAACTCTTCAATCAAAGGTTGCAAAAACAGTGGCGTATGGCAGGGTCTGTTTAGCCCCTGAGATGTTTAAAAGTAATTTGAATCTTAAAACAGTGAGACGTCACGTAAAATGCTGGGTTCCACTCTGGCTCCCACTCTACATGAAGACCTTGGGCTAGGCTGAGAGGCTCCTCAGGGCCCCAACCCCAACCCCACAGGCACAACTTCAAGGTTCTTGGGGTGTATGTCCACACACACACAGGAGTTTCACTTCAACCAGAACCCTTGCTCTGTGAAGACAGGCTGGTGGCTAATTAGTGCCAGGGGAAGAGTCTGGGCCTTTGTGGCTTGGCAAAAACTTAAGGTCAAATCTTGCCTTTACTTGTTTCTAGCTGAGGAAAGCTAGAGGATCAGTTTCCCCAGCTTGTGGCAGGATCTCCTGCCCAGGCCATTCACTGAGGCCACACACATATTGTATCAGAATGCCCTGCACACCACTGACACCAACAATCTGGCCCCTCTGTCTTTATTGCCCATCAACCCAGCACCAAGCACTGGCAGAAGCAGAGGCCAGGTGTTCTCACATCTGTTCATTAGCACTGACTGCTTCTCTAAGACCCCAGGCCACAACCCAACCAGGTGAGAGCAAATAGACCACAGGCACTCAGCCCAGCTGGCCCCACCCCCACCCTGCATGAGGCTGCCCAAGCTGGGGTGGGCCTCAAGCATCTACCTTTGGGTGACTTGAGGAAATTAACGCTGGGCTCAATCTTGGTCCAGTCGATGTTCTCTTCATCAGGAGTGTGTTCTACCATCAGCTGGAATAGCTTCATGGAGATGATGTCATGATTGTCTGCAAGACCCAGAGTTACCTTATTATAAGGGGTGCAGAGCCTGCCTTAGGGCACATGGCCCATGCCCCTCCCCAGCTCCCGGCTGCCTCTCCAGTCAGGGAAAGTGGCCAGGTCCCCTGGGGCAAACCCTGCTCCTGCCTCCTGAGGGGCCTGTTTTCTTTCCAGCGACCTCCGGCCACCCCCATCTGGCAGTGTTGCAGAGGCTGTAATACCTCTAAAACATTAAGAAATCTGGGAGGAGGCAGAACAGACACACACAAAAAAGCATGGGTTTTACACTGAGAATCAGCTGGGTCTAAATCCTGAGTCAGGTTCCTTGTTCGTAAATCTGGATGATACTCTCCACCTTGCCTGGTTATCATGGCAAGAAAATGAGATAGTGGGACGCCTGGGTGGCTCAGTTGGTTAAAAGGCTGCCTTCGGCTCAGGTCATGATCCCAGCGTCCTGGGATTGAGTCCCACATTGGGCTCCTTGCTTGGCAGGGAGCCTGCTTCTCTCTCTGCCTCTGCCTGCCACTCTGCCTGTGCGTGCTCTCGCTTCTCTCTCTATGACAAATAAATAAACAAAATCTTTAAAAAAAAAAAAAAAGAAAAAAAAAAGAAAAGAAAAAGAAAATGAGATAGTACATACAAAGCACAAGACATTGCCCAGCAGAGAGTATGTACCAGAAGAAAACCTGCATGTTATTCTATGGCTGTTTGAGAAGCCTGATCCTCTCAAGGGGCAGCAAGCAGCTGCCAGGCGCTCCTGTCAGAGACCCAAGAACAAGACGCAGACAAACCACTCAGCTACCTGAGGGCTAGGCCCCAATTCCTGGGCAGTGACTGTCCCCGAGGAGACGTGAGAAAAGGTCGGGTGTAACAGTGTGGGCAGAAGAGAACCTCTGGGACGCCTGGGTGGCTCAGTGGGTTAAGCCTCTGCCTTCAGCTCAGGTCATGATCTCAGGGTCCTGGGATCAAGTCCCAAATCGGGCTCTCTGCTCAGCGGGAAGCCTGCTTCCCTTCCTCTCTCTCTGCCTGCCTCTCCGCCTACCTGTGATCTGTCTGTCAAATAAATAAAATCTTAAAAAAAAAAGAGAGAGAGAGAGAACCTCGGCTTGACACTAAGGGATCACCCCATTCTGAGATGGGGAGGTTCCAACCCGAGACAAGGGTGCTGGTCCCTTAAATCTAGTATCAATGTGGCTAATGAGCTGAATGTGAGGCAAAGCCTCATGCCAAGAACTCTGGAGACTGGAAAAGGGAGAGCCTAAAGAACAGGGAGCTGGCAGCTGGATCAGGCAGAGCCCTGTGGTACCTGCCAGTCCAGTGTGCATAGCTCCGGGGGCCCAGGGACAAGTCCTGACTCTCAGGTCTGACAGCAGTTCCCATCTGAGCTCTGCCCTTCCTAGGTCTGTGAACGTGGGGAGATCCCTTCACCTCTCAAACTCCCCATGGTATCAGGTGTATAAAAGAGAAAAGCGGGGTGCCTGGGTGGCTCAGTTGGTTAAGCAACTGCCTTCAGCTCAGGTGATGATCCTGGAGCCCCAGGATCGAGTCCCACATCGGGCTCCCTGCTCAGCAGGAGTCTGCTTCTCCTGCTGACCTCTCTCCTCTCATACTCGCTCTCTCTCTTCTCAAATAAATAAATAAAATCTTAAAAAAAAAAAAAAGGGAAAAGTGGCCACACCATCATGTGACACTCGTGAGCGGCCTGTTGCAGAGGCTCACACTCACACACCTCCGATGAATGGCCAGGCACTACTGTGTAGACAGCCATCTCTAGCAGTCTCCACTGGGCCTCTCCAAATGGCCTCAGAGAGCATCCACTGCCACAGATCTGGCTTTGCTCCCAAAACCTTCTCCTGACACAGGCTGAAATACGATCAGGTGAAATTCCAGATTGCCTGAGGGGGAAGACTGTGGTGGAAACCTAGATGAAACCAGACTGACAGCCAGCTGATAACTGACTGCCACGTTGTCCACCAGCAACTAATGATTCCCTGAAGCTGGGTAACAGGGGCAAAGGGACTTAGTAGACCATTCTCCCCACTCTGGGGTATATAGTAAAAATATCCATACCAAAAACTTTAATACCCCAAAGCAATGACTCTCTGGGGACCAAGTGGACCCAGGCTCCCAAATAGTGGCTGGATTACAGGCCCTGGAAAGGTCTATCCTGAGGACGAATAAGCCCTTTTGCTTCCCACTTTCGGTCAGGAGCGCCTGGGCCTGGGCCTGGGCCTGGTGCCTCTGAGGGCCCTGATGCCTTCTGAGTACCATAGCCAAAGGTCACTATCAAGCGTCACCCAGGCCCAGTGGCCCAGCAAAGCCTGCACAGGCTGACAGCAGCCCAGTGCTTACAAAGCACACCGTGGGCCAAACGAGAGCCCTGACTTTATGAAACCTACAGTTTGGTGAAAGGGACACATGAAAGCCAAATTATATGGTAGATTCCAAGATAGTTAAATACTATGAAGAAAAATAAATCTAAGAAAGGCAATAAGGAGTGCAGAGAAAACTGTATTCGTGTGCCATTTTAAATAAGGGAAGCAGGGGTGCCTGGTTGGCTCAGCTGGTAGAGCGTGTGACTCTGGATCTTGGGGTTGTGAGGTCAGGCCCCACATTAGATGTAAAGCTTACTTTAAAAATGTAAATAAAGGGCGCCTGGGTGGCTCAGTGGGTTAAGCCTCTGCCTTCGGTTCAGGTCATGATCTCAGGGTCCTGGGATCAAGTCCCGCATTGGGCTCCCTGCTCAACAGGGAGCCTTGCTTCCCGCCAGCCCCCCGCCACCCGTCCCTCTCTGCCTGTCTGCCTGCCTACTTGTGATCTCTCTCTCTTTGTCAAATAAATAAATAAAATCTTTAAAAATAAAAAAAGTAAATAAAAATAAATAAATAAATAAAGGGAATCAGGGAAGGCCCCACTGAGGAAGTGACATCTGAGTAAGACCTGGAGGAGAGGAGGGTAAGGCACAGGCACGAAGGCCTGGCAGAGGGCGCTGGCATGTCTGAAGAAAAGCCATGGGTGATGTAAGGGAGCAGGGAGCCATGAGTCACAGGTGATGTGGGGGGAAGAGAGGCACTGGCACACAAGGCCCAGGAGACCATTACTAAGACAGACAGTGGCCTTGACTCTGCAGGAGACACAAGCAGTGGTGAGATCTCTCTCGAGCTTTCATGGAATCGTTCTGGCTGCTGAGCTGGGAGACTGTCGGGGGCCAGTGTGGAAGAAGAGGACCACGTGGGCGGCGCATGTGAGTGAAGTGAGTGAAGACAACGGCCTGGACCTGCCAAGTAGTAACAGGGGGAGAAAAGTGGTCCGCTGCACTGAGAAGACAAGGCCAGCAGGACTCGCCAAAGAATGAGAGGTGGCACGTAAGAGGGGGAAAAAAATGAGACTGGAATGACACCAAGGTTTTTTGGGCTGAACAACTAATGGGAAGGCTAAAATGCCTGTTGGGTATCCAGGTAGAGATGCTGGGCAGGCAGGTGGTTACATAGGTCTGAAAAGGTCTGAGCTGGTGATGGAAAGATGGGACTCTGCAGCATCTGGATTCCAAGCCCTCTAGCTGCTCAAGAGCATGGAAGATGGCTGAGGGAGTGCTCATGCAGTAAGCCCCAGGTGTGCCAACATTCCCAGATGCTGGAAAGTGAAGGAAGAAACGCAGGTACATGCAGACCCAAATGAAGGGAGTTCAAGAAGGAAAGTGATCAACTGCATCGCAAGCTTCTAACAGACCAGCGAAGGGCAAGACTGAAGCTTAATGCCTTGCTCAGCCCACACACTCACCAGATAGGTCTCCCGTGCCAGCCGAGGCTCCGAAGTAGTAGCCCGTGGGCAGGCGCACTCCCGTGATGTCGATGCAGTTTTTCCACTCATTCTTGTCCTCTAGGTCAGTCATCACCTGCAGCCAGCCAGCAAGTTAAGTACACACCATGCTCAAGCCCAGCCACCTCCCTGAGCCCCTACAGACAGAGCTGGCCCTGGCCTGCCTGCTCACCGTCAGACGGCCCCGGGAGTAGCGCACAGCGAGGAAGGTATCATGATCGCGGTTCCGGAAGTCGGCCGTGCAGCCCGCCAGCTCGGTCCAGCGGCCATCTTTGCTATGGTCGTAGGACAGGGAGCCATTGTTCACCATCACCGAGATGTACGGGAACACACGCTGAGACCGAGACACCAGTTACTCCATGGCCAGCCCAACCTGTGGGAGGCAGTGGGGGCCCCAATCCCTGGAGGCCCCACTGTGCCAAGACCAGGGAGACGTCCTGGTCCCCAACCCTCCGGCCAACTGCCCAGCCCTTCCTGCCCTGTCAGAGGCAGAAGGCAGAGGCATACCTCTGTGGTCTCATCGTTGGGATATGTGTCCAAGAAGATGGCTAAGCCGTGGAAGTTGTCTTTGCTCCCAAACACAGGCCCTGGAATTAGAAGGAGAAGCTCTCATAATGGGAGATATTGGGAGTTGTCCCCTGGTACCTGAAGGACAAAGTAATACCAGTGCAGGTGGGGGAAAGAGAGGTTAATCTGAGGTCATTCACCCAGGGAAGGGAAGGATCTCTAAGGGAGGGGAGGTGTCAGGGTGCAGCAGAGAAGACTCAAAATCTGAAACCAGAACTGTTGAGAGAATAGCACCTAGCCTTGTGCTCTGACATGTCAGGTGACAAGAGGGCAGGGACCCCTACAGAGGAAGCCCCATCTTCTAAGCCAGGGGTCAGCAACTTTATGTCAAGGGCCAGAGAGAAAACATTTTAGACTTTTAAGACACATATGGTCTCAGCCACATAGTCTTGTTTTTGCTATTTTAAAAATGGTAGAATGATGGGATGCCTGGGTGGCTCAGTCAGTTAAGGATCCAAGTCTTGGAGTCGGCCCAGGTCATGATCTCAGGGTCCTGGGATTGAGCCTTGCATCAGATTCTGTGCTCAGCTCTGCTTCCCTCTCGCTCTCCCTCCGCCCCTCCCCCTGGTTCACGCATGCTCACTCACGTGCTCTAGCGCACACTCTAAAGTAAATAAATAAATTGGAAAAAAAGAAAAGTTGAATGGTAAAATCCTTTCTTAGCTGGTGTACAACACCAGGCCACAATGGGGTATAGCTGCTAGGATCCAGCCAGCCCTCTTCTTAAAGGGACACTTCCCAGAGCAGACTCAAAGAGGAGCAGTAGGACCCTAACCGGAGGGTACAGAATGCCCTCACCTAGATAAGTGCGTCCCTACCTGGCACAAGGCGGTCCCGGGTGTACCACAAGGCAATGCCATCTCCATGGAGATTCTTCTTTCCAGCACCATGGACTTTAAAGTGGACATGCATCTCCCAGTCCTTGAGGAAGCAGGGCTGCAGAGAAAGCAGAGAGAGCTGCTCAGAACTCGCCGGCTATCCTGCCAGCTAGAGGTGACCCAGCGCAAGCCCGTCTCCTCCACTGAGACTGGCACTCCTTGGAACAGGGCCAGGCAGCAGAGTCACCAGTGACATTGACCAACAGACACCCGACCCCCCCGACATTCTCCACAGGAAGGGAGGGGGCTGCTGGGCCTCCCAGGTGGGGAGGAAGGGGCCACCCAGTGTCCCAGGGCTGCCTGGGCCGCCCATCCTGGCCCTAGTCTTCTCTTCGGCCTGGCCACAGGTTCTCACTCTATGATTCACCTTCCTCAACACCAGCCAAACCAGCCATTTCCTCTCCATCCCACTACTCCTGCCCCAAAATCTTGTAGGATTACTACTCCTATTTGAGCCACATGTTTTACAAAACAGAAAACCCATTCAAAGACAAAATAACTTGTCCACAGCAGGTTAAGTGGACTTAACCACAGCAGGTTACGATCATCCAGATCTGTCGGACTCAAACTTTTGCTGTCTTCTATACCTCCCATGACCTTCAGGCCTTTAACACAAAGTGCAGCAACTCTTTTCTGGTCTCCCACCTTACTGTCTTCCTTTCTAACCATGTTTCCAAACTGAGACACTCAAACCCAGGTATGGATGACTCCAAACCCCAACCTCTTGGCCAGCACCCTTCCTGCCTCTTGCAGACCCAGTCCAGCTTCAGTGTGAGGACAGTGCCAGGGCTGGTGGGCTGGAAAGTTCATGCTCTGGGGTCTCTGGGTTGTTGTGGTGTGAGAAAAGACAGATAATCCCTGGTATTCAGGAACACCAGCTGCAGAGCTGGGCACTGTCCACAATAAGGGGAACAGCCTAGCCTCACCCACCAGGAAGTTGCTGGTGAAAACTAAGGTGTTGACACACATACTTTGACAAGAATCCACATGGGGGAAGTCTACAGATGGGGATGCGAGCAAGTGTTTAAACAAAGGCCCATTAGAAAAGCAAACTAAAACAAGATGTTGTTGACTTATCAGACTGGCAACTATTAAAGAGATCATTAATACCAGTGTAGAGGAGGATGAAAGAAACACATGCTCTCAAACAACCAACGGGACTGTAGATGCTCCCATTTTCTTGGGGGCAGTCTGGTTGTTGCAGCTTTTTAACAGACCACAGCACATCCGTAAGCCTTTATACTTGAAGATATCAAAGATATTAAGAGAAGAAAAGTTGACAAAGTTCAAATCTGTATACAGAGAGAAAATAAAAATTAAAGGAACATGGGCCAACATTAATGATACGTGACTTTGAGAGGGGAACTACAAGACATGTTTACTTTCTATATTTGAATTTTATATCATTAATATAATTTTTAAAACTCAAAAACAGAAAACTTTATATCCCCTCTTAGATGATCTGGCTGGGGCATTCATTGATTCATCAGACTTACTGTTCTGGCTCTGGGAACCAAAAACCAAGATGAAGAACCCCAGTTTCAGCCCAGGAACACAGATGGCAGACACCTAACCAACAGCTCGCAAGTAGTGTGAAATCTTGGCCTTCCCAATTCTTGGGAGTTCACTGGCTCTGTGGAAATCTGCAGATTCTAGAGGGGACAGGTGAGAGCGGAGGAGACCAGCTCTCAAGGATAGATGGACAAAGACTGATGCCAAGCCCTGCTGAGGGAGTGAAAGGCCTGGTGAACCACCCTTGCCTTGGGCTGAGACCACAAAGAAAACAACCCAAAAATGAGAGCGAGGAAAAGCCCTGCCAGGGGCAGGAGCCCAGCTTGAGCCCTCTCATCCCTGCAAGTAGACTAAAGCGACTCACCCACACCTGAAACTGTTCAACAAACAATCTTACAAAATACAGTATCCAGCATACAATAAATAATCAGAAACACAAAAGACAAGTTATCAACCAAAACCAAAAGGGAGGGAGGGAGAGACAGGCTAATGGGAACTCCATATACTGGACTTTCAAATAACTAGCTTACTACTTCAAGGAGATAAAAGACAAAATTGAGAACTCTCGGAAATAACTGAAATTTTTAAAAAATCACCTCACAAAAAAATTCCAGAATTAAAAGAGTAACTGAAAATAATATAACAGGTTCAACAACAGATTAAAAACAAAGAGAGAACCAGTGATCTCAAGGCCAGTCAGGTAGATAAAAATATCCAGGAGGAAGCACAGAGAATGAGTGATAGATACAAAATTGTCAGTAAGAGACAGAGAATGAAAGATATGTATAACTGGAGTTTCAAGATAAGAAGTGAGACAACAGGTCAAAGGAATTTTTTTTTAAAGATTTTATTTATTTATTTGACAGAGAGAAATCAGAAGTAGGCAGAGAGGGAGGCAGAGAGAGAGGAGGAAGCAGGCTCCCTGCTGCGCAGAGAGCCCAATGTGGGGCTCAATCCCAGGACCCGAGCTGAAGGCAGAGGCTTAAACCGCTGAGCCACTCAGGTGCCCCAAAGGAATATTTAAAGAGATGTCCACGTACTTACTAAAACTCATTCAAAGACATTACACCACAAATCTTAAATCTTACAAACCAAAGGAGACAAATAAAAAGAAAACCATACCTAGAGACATCAAAAAGGGAGGGAGGGTAGGAGGGAGGGAGAAAAAGAAGTCTTAAAAAGCAAGAGGGGGGCACACAAGATTATCTTCAAACGAACAATTAGCCTGATATGGGGATTCTCAACAGAAACACTGGGATCAAGAAAACAACAGTTGGAAATATTTGGAGTTAAAAGAAACCGACATAGGATTCTATACTTAGCAAATGTTATCCTGCAAGAATGAAGGTGAAATTAAGACATTTTTAGATAAACAGAAACATTAAAATTTTCTTTCATTCATCAGAAAGAAGGAAAATTATCCAGAACCAGAGATCATGACCTGAGCCAAAAACATAGGCTTAATCCACTGAGCTACCCAGGTGCCCTGCAAGCAAAGAACTTTCAACCTAGCAGAAGACTAAAAATGGAACAAAACTTAAGCAACCCGAGAGACAATTGGCGAGAAAAATGAATGGAGAATGAGCAGTACAAATAGAAAACCAAAATCCAAGCGCCTGGGTGGCTCAGTCAGTTGGGCATCCAACTCTTGGATTGTGGTCTCAGGGTGGTAAGATACAGCCCCGTGTCAGGCAGTGTGCTCAGTGTGGGGTCTGCTTAAGAGTCTTTCTCCCTCTCCCTCTGCCCTTCCTCCTTTTTCTAGATAGATAGATAAATCTTTGAAAAAATCGGTAATTATCCTAAATGTAGATGGCTACATGCTGATAAGGCTACATAAAATCTCTATTATTTTTTACAACTGTATGTGAATTGGGGCGCCTGGGTGGCTCAGGTGGTTGAGCGTCTGCCTTTGGCTCAGGTCATGATCCCAGGATCCTGGAATGGAGTCCCACATCACAATCCCTGCTCAGAGGGGAGTCTGCTTCTCCCTCTCCCACTGCCCCCTGCTCATGTGCTCTCCCTTTCTCTCCAGTAAATAAAAGCCTTAAAACAAAAAATCTCTATGTGAATTTACAATGATCTCAAAATAAGTTTAATTTTAAATAATAAAGGATCAAAGATAAACTTAAGAGCTAAAACTATAAATCTCTTAGAAGAAAACACAGGGTCATAACATTGGATTTAGCAAGATTTCTTGGATAAGGCACCAAAGCACAGACAAAAACAAAAAAATAATGTGAATTTCATCAAAATTAAGTTCTTGCACATCAAAAACATTGACAGAGTAAAATGACAAACCACAAAATGGGAGAAAGTATTTCTAAATCATGTATCTAATAAAGGAGCAGTGTCTCCAGAATATACAGAGAGCTCCCAAAGTTCAACAATTAAAAAAAAAAAAAAATTTTTTTTCAAAATAAGCAAAGGACTTGACTACACATTTTTCCAAGGAAGAAAATAAACAAATGGCCAATATACACAAATAGACACATGAAAAAAGCTCAATGTCATTAGTTATTAGAGAAATGCAAACCAAAACCACAAGATATTGCCTCACACCCTTTAGGATGGATGGCTATCATCAAAAAAAACAAAACAAAACAAACAAAAAAACCAAAAAACCCACCAGAAAATAACAAGTGTTGGCAGGGCATCTGGCTGGCTCCGTAGCTGGAGCCTGCTACACTTGATCTCCAGATTGTTATTTCAAGGCCCACATTGGGTGTAGAGATTACTTAAATAAGTGAATAAACTGTAGAAAATAAAATTTAAATTATTAAAAAAAAAAAAGCAGGGCACACAATCCTACAGGGTGGTTCAGTGGGTTAAGCCTCTGCCCTCAGGTCAGGTTATGGTCTCAGGGTCCTGGGATTGAGCCCCACATTGGATTCCCTGCTTGGTGGGGAGTCTGTTTCTTCCTTTCCCCACTGCTTGTGCTCTCTTTCTCTCTCAAATAAATAAATAATTTTTAAGGATTTTATTTATTTGACAGAAAGAGAGAGAAACACAAGCAGGGAGAGTGGTAGGCAGAGGGAGAGGGTTAAGGTGGTAAATTTTATGTTATGTACACTTACCATAATAAAAAATATTTGTGGAATTTTCTTTTCCATGTGTGCAGATACATAAATACAATAATCAAATAATTTTTGTAGAGAGCCATTACATTTTTCAACCCCATTTAAATGCCAATGAGAATCCTACTAAAGACAAGGTTTTCAAAAATTAAAGGATTTAAAAGTTAAAAAAAAAGGTTAAAATGGCAAATTTTGTTATGTGTATTTTACAACAATAAAAATAAACCAATAATCCCCCAAATGCCTAATTACATGCCATTTACAAGACACAACTCTAAAACAAAGAAATGGAAAAGGACAGAAAAAGATATAACATGCAAATACTAACTGAAAGCAAGCTTGTGCAGCTATACCAATAACAAAGTTTACAAGGGGACTTTTTAATGACAAAAGGATTTTTTTTTTTTTTTAAGATTTTATTCATTTATTTGACAGAGAGAGAGATCACAAGTAGGCAGAAAGAGTGGGGGAAGCAGGCTCCCCGCCGAGCAGAGAGCCCGACGTGGGGCTCAATCCCAGGACCCTGAGATCATGACCTGAGCTGAAAGCAGAGGCTTAACCCCCTGAGCCACCCAGGTGCCCCGACAAAAGGATTTCTTAATGAACAAAAGATTTCATTTACCAGGAAAATTTTGGCCTCAAAATCTATCAAGCAGAAACTGACAGAATTACAAAAATAAAAACAAATCCACAAAGCAATTTACACACCTCTCTCAGTAATTGATAAAAACAAGCAAAAATGTCAGGAAGAATACAAATACTTGAACTCAATCAGCAAATGTGACCAAGGACCTAAAGGGCACAATGTACTCAACTAGCTGAGAATCTACATTCTTTGCAAACGCACACAGAAAATTTTCCAAAAACCTGACTCTTTCCAAGACTCAACAGACCTCCAAGGACGGAAATAATTGTGTTCTTTGACCATGATAAACTCAAACTAGATATTAATAATGACTTAATTTTTTAGGAACTAGAAAAGCTTTTATGTTTGAAAAAAAAGTTAAACATATCTCACCTCTACAAAAGTCAGCCCAAAAACCAGATTTCAAATGGTCTCTTTTGTGCCCAGGAGTTTTCTGCATCTGAGAACAATGCACTAAGATAAGACCCCAAGCGGGTATAAGGGGTGCCTCCAAGCAGAAGGGCAACTGCAGGGAGATGGGAAAGGAACACCTACTCTCCTGCCCCTGGTACGGTTTATAGGGAGAGGAGTTTCCGGAAAGGGTACACACAGAAGTTGAAACCTAGAAACTGAATCCTACACGACCAGTCTCTGTGTATGGCAGACTGAAAACTGCAGATCGGTGGAGGTAAATACCAAGATAGAGATACTATATAGCCTCTGAAGGATTTTAAGCAGGTTCAGGTAAGGTACCAGCTGGAACTGATTTAGAAGCTGCTTTTGGTCGCAGAGAGTGATATGGCCATGCTTTTCCATCCTCGCTGCAAAGCTGAGCTCAGTAATCTTAACGCCCTGGCCCTCCCTGGGGCCAACTAAATCAGAATCACCTGGCTACAGGTGCTTTCCATGCTTTTGCTCACAAGTGGGAGGCAGAGCTAATCAAAGAGTCAGCTGATACATCATGAAACATTCTGATGAGAAATCACTACGTGATTTGGGGTTTGTAAACCTAAGAAAGTTGAAAATATCAAGTAACTCTGCTATAACAAAACTCCCTCCATCCTCATCTACTATTTAAGTGAACAGATTCCCAGCACTCACATCTACAAAAACAAAAAGCAGAAATGGTGCTGAGGCCTTACTCTGACAATAACAACCATCCAGACAGGGACACACTTCAACAAATTTCTACTTCTACGATAATTATCCAAAAATTGTGTGATGCATTTATTTTGACCAAATGTGTATTAATAATATCCCCCCCAAATATTAAAACTTAGTTTTAAGGTCCCACCAAAGTTAAAAGGTTTACATTATTACACTTATTTTAGTTGGAAAGGAATGAGACACGCTAATCAGTAAGAGATTTTCAAGCATTATATACACTGCACAGAACAAAATTCTATGTGGGATGAAATGAAAATACAAATTCAATAAAGAAAAAACCTGATGTATAATCTGGGCTGATTCACAGCATTTAAAACATATGGTGAATATCAAATGGAAATATTTAGATTCCACTGAATACACCTAAGAGTACTGAACAGTTTCATTTTAAAATGGCAATATTTAGGGGCACCTGGGTGGCTCAGTCAATTGAGCGTCCCACTCTTGATTTTGGCTCTCAGTTCAGGTCATGATCTCCATGATCTCATGCCCACTCCGTTCATTCCGCTTAGAGTCTGCTAAAGATTCTCTCTCCCTACCCCCCAACCAGGGCGTATGCTCTCTCCCTCAGTACATACGTAGGTACATAAAATTTTTTTTAAAATAAATAAATAAAATGGCAATATTTAAAATATACTGGAAACTACATCCTTTGCAAACATTTAAATGTAAGAAAAGCAGTTCTGGATATCAACTTCTAAAAAGTGTAAGAGGATATATACTTTCGGACAGTACATCAGCCACAAAAGCTTAAATACTACTCTGCAGCCCACACAAGGCTCCCCAGCCCCTTGGGCTTCCCTCTGTCCTGTGCTCCAGCCATCAGACTCTTGGGAGTTCCAGTCACCTTGGGGCCACTCCCTGGTCTGGACAGCTCCACCCCAAAACAGCAGAAGCTATGTTTTCTCTTCTTGGGACCACAGCAGGTGCTTATAAGTATTTTGCTAATTCAGGGCCCTTCCCAGAGTGAGGGAGACAAAGAAACATCCAGAAAGCACCTCTCCAGTAAAGGAAAGTTCTTGGGAAACAACAGGCAGAAAGTTCTAAGCATTCCAAGTAATTTCTTTCAAGAATTACAGGAACCACTCCAACTCTTTCAAGAATATCTGCAGGGCTAAATAGGAAAGTCCCTAGAAGTGAATGGAGATGTGGGGGAAGGAAGAGAATTATATTCCAGACTGAAAATTTGACAAAGTTAAATGCAGAACTCTCTCAGCCCTGTGACATCACCAAGCCACTGACAATGCCAACCAACAGTTACCTACAACCATAATTAAGTTACTTGTAGCTGAACCAATTTCTGAAAGTTCCAGCACTGTTTGTACCTTACTTAAAAAATAGAAAAATTAATGACATACTGAACTCACTCCCATAAAAAAATGTAACACATTATAATTTTTAAAAATTATCTGAAAACCCTAAGACAGAATAATGTGACAGGATGTGACGCGGGGGAGACAGAGTAGTTAATGAAATACTGAGTGGGTGGCACTCAAGCTGAGACATACCAGACGAGAAAGAAGCAGGCAGGCATTAAGAACCAGGAGGCAGTGTCCCTGACACATGGAACAACAAGTGCAAAGGTCCTGAGGCAAGAAGGCAGCCAGAGAGGCTATATAAAATTACCAGTATAAATGGAGATGCCAAGCACCAGGAGCCAGACTGTGTAGACATAATGTCTGTTTATGCCCTTCACAGAAGACCCCAGGCTCTGAGGATCAGAGTGAAAGCTGAAGAAAGTAACCCAGATGCCCCTAGCAGAAAGGAGAGGAGGAGCAGAAGGGACAGGCAGATGGACAAGGACAGTGTGGGCTCCTAGAACTAAATAGGGAAGCCATTCAGAATGGAACAAAGAACAGGGTGATGAAGAAAACTAGGACAATGGCCAACAGCTTAGGCCTATGGGAAGAAGTGGAATCAGGTACGCTGAGGTAAGAACAGCTTCCAGCCCAAGTGTGACCCAGCCCCAAATTAGTCCCCTTTCGCCCCTTTCCTGACCTAGACTTCCTCAGTGTGGGGTCTGCATAGCAACTTATTTTGGCCACTGGTCACGTATGACATGCCAGTGACACCTGAGGTTCCCTAACCTCTAGACTGAAGGTCACAAAAATCAAAAGTGCCCACAAGTCCAGCTCCTCTATTATCAGTGATGACAAGACCCTCAGTAAAGCACTGGGGAAGTGGACTAAGTCCACAAGTATTTCTAAGGGATTCCTCCATTGTACAGGAGGAGCAAGGGGGGCATGTGTTGCAAGTGAATTGCTGGGCTTCGAAATCAGACAGATCAGACTTTAAATACTGATTATTCCATTCGATGTCTGTGTTAGCTCTGCATAAAGCCGTGACAACCATCTACTTTCAAACAGCCTGTTTGAGAATTAAATGCAATAAGGCTATTTAAGGTCAGTGGCTAACACACACAAAATACCCAATAAGGATTCCATCTGTTCCATTTACCCACTATTGAGAGTTGAATTCAGACAGCTATGAGCTCCACTGCTTACTAGCTATGTGACTTTGAGTCAGGCACTTTCAACTGAGTCTTAGCTTCATCAGTAAAATGGAAATATCACTTAATTCACCTGGCTTTCCAAGAAACTAGATGAGAAAGGTGTGAAGTGTCAGGCACAGCTCCCCACAGTTAACTTCAGTAGTCATTCACAGTGACTTCAAGAGTCAAGATGAGGATACCTTGTTGGGGGTGGGGGATCACAAGCCTTCAACCCAAGCTCAGATCTGGGGTGTTGCCGGGAGACTGGTAGTAGCAGTTTACTTAAGGATACACCTAGCGTCCTGGGAGTCACTCACCTGGTGGTTCCAGATAGAGCCCTCTTTGCTGCGCTCATCAGGGGTCAAACGCACGTACTGGCTCGTGAGTATAGTGCTGCCTTGGAAGTCCCAGAGGGGCATGGAGCTGGAACCGACCCCTGTGGGGAGAGAGGGGAGTAGACAGGTGCGTAAGAGGCCATGCCAGCAATGGCCTTGCCAGAGGCAGAAAACCCACAGAGCTGCTTTGTTCAGGAGAAAGGAAACCCCTTTAACCAACCCTATCCAGCCTCGCCCTCACCCTGCACTCATTCCCGCCCCAGGCCTCACCTTGGTAGGGTTTGATAAGCGAATGCTCCCGCTTGAGGTGTTCACTGTTGCCGTCAGTTATATCCGCAACAACCGGCCCCAGCAACAGGAGGAGAAGTAGAGGTGTAGCGGGGCCAGGGCCGGGGCCGGGAAGCCCAGGCCTCCCCGGGCACCGCCGGCCCCAGCCCCAGCGCCAAATCCAGCCTTCAGCCGCCATTCTCCGTTCCTCTGGGCCACTTCCGCCCTAGGACTTCCGCCTTCCGGCTGTCCCACCTCATGTCTCCGGCGGGAAACCCTTCAACCCTAATGTCACCGGGAAGTTAAAAAAAAAGCAAAGCCTCGCAGCCGAAAGGAAGGCGGCTTTATTTACTGAGCAGGCCCCCAACCTGGCCAAATGCCGTTCCATCTCCTTGGCGGCTCCGAGGAACCTGTCCGCCAGCCTCAGCAATGGGTTTCTAGGAGCGACAAGAGCCTCAACCAGTCGTGGAACAGCACGTTAGGCTTGTGAGCCAATGAGGAACAGAGGGAAAGTAGGACTCGGGGCAGCACGAGGGGCGTGTGCGAAGCGAGGCATGCTGGAACTTGTAGTTTGGGGGGGGGTTCGCGCGGGCTGGGCAGACGAAGAACGACCTTGGCCACCAGCCGGTGATCGCATCTCTGGAGTAGCATTTCCCAGTCCTGGGGGGAAAGAACTCAGAATGGAAGGAGGAAGCCTGAATTCCAGCTCCCTCGCCCCCTCGTTCTCACTGGGTGGCTCTGGCTACCCAGTCTTAAAGGTTTCTGGCCCCACCTCTCTCCTAGCGCCAGGCCTTTGGAGACGTAGAATTCCCAGTTGCGGGCTCCACTACTTCCAACTCTGGTGGCCCAGTAGGGTTTAAGCCAGAGGAGCGGACCCGGATCCTATCCCGGACTCCTGAGACGGTTGCTACCCGCCCGCTGCAGCTGGAAGGGGCCATGAATGGTCCAGAAAAACCACCTGTGGACCAGAGGTCAAAAACTGCTGGCGCACAGCTGGGTAGAGCTCTGTTTTACCTGTTCGTGCTGTTTCAATACAATGATTTAAATATCGATTTATTATTTATTTATTTATTTATTTATTTTTAAGATTTTATTCATTTACCTGACAGACAGAGATCACAAGTAGGCAGAGAGGCAGGGAGAGAGAAATGAGGAAGCAGGCTCCCCGTTGAGCAGAGAGCCTGATGCGGGGGCTCAATCCCAGGACTCTGGGATCATGACCCAAGCTGAAGGCAGAGGCTTTAAACCACTGAGCCACCCAGGCTCCCCTATTTTTTTTTTTAATTGTATTTATTTATTAGATAGCGAGAAGGCACAAAACGGGAGGGGGGTGGGGTTGGGGGAGAGGGAGAAGTGGACTCCCCACCGAGCAGCGATTCCCAGCGGAAGTCAGCCACTTAACCGACTGAGCCACCCAGGCGCCCATCGGTATTTCTAGAGTATTTTTTTTTTTTAACAGAGAGAGAGAGATCACAAGTAGGCAGAGAGGCAGGCAGACAGAGTGGGGGAAGCAGGCTTCCCGCTGAGCAGAGAGCCCGATGTGGGGCTCCATCCCAGGACCCTGGGATCATGACCTGAGCCAAAGGCAGAGGCTTTAACCCACTGAGCTACCCAGGCGCCCCAGCCCATCGGTATTTCTAAATCGACAGACTTAATATCAGAAATCCAAATTTCCGGCTTTTCAGGAAAATCTGGAGATCCAACCACACTACGCCCATGTGGCCTTACAAAGCCCTTCCTCTGCGGAGCTAGCCTTCCCACTGGCCACTAATTTATAACACCTGCCCAAGCCCTCCAGCTATTTGAATTAATAACCCCTGCTACAGCTCACAGGGTCGGGGGTGGAATCATTGGTTGGTTGCTCCTTTATTTTATTTCAAGAATCTGCCCTTTTGAATGAGTGAACTTATTCAAGATTAGTGCTGAGACATCTTTCTGGATCACATACTTTTGATTAGCTTATTAAAGTAATACGCTCATCTATGTAGTACAGACATATAATACAGCAAAAGTCCCCTGCCATTCCCTTCCAGAAATGTATATCTATACTTTCCACTAGACCTCTAAGACAGCTGGGATTTTTGCCCGTTATGCCTGGCATCTAAAACCACACTTGGCACAAAGGAAGTGATTAATAAGTAATTAGTAAAAATATGAATATTTGGTCTAGAACCTGGAATTGGGCCATGAAGAATGAGTAGGAGTTTACCAGCCGTAGGAAGGGCATTCTCAGCAGAGGGAACAGGAGATGCAAAAGCCCAGAGGGATGCCAGAGAGCATAGGGATGAAAGCAGGTCAGAGTGGCTGAGGAGAGGTGGGTGAGAGTATAGCTGAGGCCAGAACTTGAAGGGCCTTCTATTTCCAGCTAAGGAACGTGGCCTTTTTCCAGAAAGCAATGGGATGGTTTTAAGCATGGGAGTGGCCAACATGGGTTTATCTGGCTATGGTGAGGAGAAGAAACTAGAGGGGAGCTACCTTCCCCAGGTGGGAAGATGGAATAGAAGGTCATTACGACCAGATGAGAGATAGCAAGGCCTGATCCAGGGAAGTCTACAGAAGGAAGGGGAATTGATCTCCCACACAAAGACTAGAAATCAGTAATTGATCCCCTGTGGGAGCCAGGGAGAGAAAGAGAAGTTGAAAACAGAGTTCTGAGAGATGCAGGGAAGAAATCTTGATAAGAACTAAGAGATGGGAAGTCCTAGGGTTGGCTGGGGTCCCTGGGGTAAAGATGTGGTCAGAGCTGAAATTGGCATCTGTAGTGGAGAAGTGAGGAGAGGAGAGGATGACCTTGGCAGGGGCCAGAGCCTGTAATGGGGCCTTTTGGGGAAGAACGATGAACTGTTGGCACCTGGCCTAGTAGCAGCCCAGGTGCAGCTCCCAGCACCCAAGCACACATATTCACAATTTAGCAGTATCTAACTTGATCTGTGACCTTGGGCAACTCACTGCTCTCTGAATCTCAGCTTCCCAATCCGTAAAATGGATATAATGAGCGCCACTCACAAAAAGGGTATAAGTATCAAATGAAGTCATATGGGGAAAAGACCCTGTAAATGGTAAAGCCCTCCATGAAACCGAGGCCCAGAATCAGGGCACAGCAGATAGATGGGCAGTTCCCATCGACATCACACACCCCATAAACCACCCCCAAGCACATTGCCATTGTCATGCACCTTATTAAGACAATGCTCCAGGCCCAGAAGCAGCCCCCAATACACATACCAAGTCTGACTGAACCCCTCTATCTGGGGAGCCTGGAGCAAGGTGTCTGGGAAGGGATAAGTCAGGCCAGGTGAAGAGGGGAACACTAGCTGCTATCACAAACAGACTCAAGTGTGTATAACAGCTCAAAGATTATTCCTCACTCACGTAACAGTGCAAAACTAGTGTTCCTGGTTGATGGGTGGGTTCCCTTTGTGCCCTAATACAAAGACCCTGTCTCCTTCCTCCTATGGCCCACAATCCCTTAACTCCTTCATCCAGCCAGCTAAAGATGAACAAGACCATGTGGTGGGTACATATTACATAAAGATCTTGGTCCAGAAATAGCACCCATTATTTCATTCTTATTTACTTGGTGGGACTAGTCACAAGGCCACACCTGACTGCAAGTGAGCCTGGGAAATGAAAGTTTAACCATGTACCCAGAGGAAGAGGACATGAACTTGTAGTGAAGAGTCAGCCAGTTATACCACCGAAAGGTTCAAGTCACAGCCCTAGAAGGGGACAGTAGGATAGAGGGTAGAAAACCGAAGAGGGGCCCAGACCAGAGTGGTGGGTGACTTGAGGGTGCTAAGCCCATACACAAGGTAAAATGCAAGCTCTTTTGGTGTGTGCATGTCTGTGTAAGACAGAGGCCAACTAAGGACTCTGGCTAAGGGCCCAGAGTTCAGCTGGCCTTGGGCCGGGGCTGGGAGGGCAGGGTGTCACTCTTCAGCTGATGGTGCTACATCAAGGTAGGATTTTTGTTTGAGTGAGAATGAACACATAGGCGTCACACATGGAAGCCACTGATGCACGTGTCACCGGGAGGGCTGAGGACTTGCATGTCTATGGGCAGTTGTGCCTGTCACATGCCCCTGTCCAGGGCACTAGATATACATATACAGGGGTTTCTTTTTTATTTTTATAAAGGGGTTTCTAATGAAGGGCGAGCCTCTGTGTTTATGACACACATGCCTGAATGGTCTGTGTGTACATGACTGTGCACACAAGGTGTCCATCTGTATGTACACTTGGGCACATACCTGGGTGGTGCCTGGGGGTAGAGGTAGTCACTCCGCATGAGCACAAGTGCCTGGGGGGACACTGGGTGTGCCCATGCACAGCACACACACAGCAGGTGGGAGCTAAGTGTATGTTGAGTAAAGTACATGTGTGCATACTCAGTGCACATGTTCACATGGTGACGTGAGCCCCCACCAGGGTGCAAAAAGGTGACTAAGTGTGTGAGCACACACTTCTGTGTGCCCAGACATGAACTTGGAGCTCCCTGGACTGGGCCAGACCAGGCCGAGCTCCTTCCTGGGCACACAGAGGTCTCTGTGATGTGCTGGTGACAGTGTGGGGCACTGCCAAGGGTGCACTGGTGGCATGTGTGTGTGCCTGTGAACGTGCGTGTGTGTGCGTGCGTGTGTGTGTGTGTGTGTGTAGGAAGAGGCATTCGCTCTCTTAGACCTTGCTTCTTTCTGTGGTTCGGTTTCTATAGAGACACTTCCTGTGGCAGAGAAAAGAGGTAGTGAGCTGGTGTTTCAGGATGTGAGGGCCCGCAGGAGCGGAGCCGGGCTCTCTCTGTTGCTTGCCTGCCACCGTGCAAGCTCTAGCCGGGGCTGCCCACAGTCCCCATGGTGGGCTCTCCTCACAGCAGGGACCCGTGAAGAGCGGCGGCATGCCAGGGAAGCCCAAGCACCTGGGTGTCCCCAACGGGCGCATGGTGAGTGTGGGCTCCAGGCCAGGCCCATGGGGAAGGGGTGGGCACACCCAGGGTGGAGCCCAGGAGGCACACCAGGCAGGACTGGGCAAGAGCCTGCATGCTGCTCACGGGCGGGAGAAGTTGGGTAAAAACAGGAGCAGGCAATGGGACCTGGGACTCTCATCCTAGGACCTTCTAGAGGGCCCTGCTGGGGATCTGGGGCAACCTTGGAGAGGAGAGCAGAGTACAGTGAGTATAGGCTTCTGGTTCCCACTGCTCCCTCTCCGGCCACTTTGGCCCCATCGGGGGCAGGGAGACCTAGCATGCCCTTTGACCCCTGCCTACCCCCATAAGGGCCCAGACCCCCACATCTGACTTAGCCTCATGTCCTGTCCCCTCACCCCATGTCCTGATGTCCAAGGTTAAGTAAGGGGAACCCTCGGTGTGTCACTGCCCTTCAGCTGGACCTGCTCCAGAGGCTTTCTGCCAGAACAAGTAGTCTTCGGGCAGCCTGGGATGGCTCAGCCAGGCCGGGCCAGCTTGGTGCAGCTTGTCTTTTCTATCCTGGGCTACCAGGAAGGGTGGGAGTAGCTGGGTGCTCGGATGCCCTGGCTACTGCTGCTGCCCCACCCCCTAAACCCTCTCTCTGGCTGCTTCACCTGTAAATCATAGCTGTGCTCGGACAGTCCAGCTTCTTTATGCATTCAGCTGATGGGGCAGACTGTGCTGGACCTTTCTTCTCTCCCTGGGATACCAGCCCACTTGGCAGAGCCCCAGCCCCTCCTCGCAACCCCAGGAAGGCCAGCCAGTGCCTTAACCTCCAACCTAGCCCCAGCTTAGGACTATGGAACAAAACCAATGGATCTAGAAAGAACCGGGTTCCAGTCTTGGCTCCATTGTCCCTTACTAGGGGTCCTCTTTGACCCTCAGTTTCTTTACCTGTAAAACGAGGAAATTGGAGCAGTTCTCAAAGGCTTGTTGATTAAGTAGAATGATGAATATGAGGCCCTTGACCCACTGCGAGGGCTCCATAAATGTCAGCCCAATGCTTTCTTTCATGCTCAGCCCCTCTTCAAGGATCCCCTCCTTCATTCAGAAACTGAGGTTGTACTCACACTCCTACCTCCTAATTACCAAAACCCTACTCCACCTCTCCTTCTTCCATTATCTATTGCCCAGCCCCAGGCTAGTTGGGTGGGAAAGAAGAAAACCCCACCAAGCTGGCCCAGTGCCCCACCTCACTGTCTTTACTATCAACCTAACTTTGAAAGTTCAAGAACCTAAGGTCCTTGCACTCCAGCCCCAGAAGCACCATACTCAGGTGTGCTGGCCAAGGAGGATCATGTCCACTCTCACGCCTACCCCAAAGGGCAGCTGGGTTGGTGCTTCTGAGCAGTGCCCAGAACTGGGAGGCGACTGAGGGTACCTGGAGACAGACCCAGCCTCTGCCCCTCCCATGTCAGCCCATGGTTTCTCTACCCCAAAGTCCTTTAGAGAAGGGAGGGCGCCCAAGTTCTGCTCCCAGCCTTGGCAAGCTCACAGATGCCCTGATTCCCAGAAGCAAACTTCACACACAGGATATCTTCGCTCTTCCTGGGTCTGTTCTGAACTCTCCATGTCACCTCTTGAAACCCTGAGGATCCCAGCTCAGCTGCTTGTGGGTCATTGGTCAGCTTTCTGAAATCATGCTCAGCTGACGTGGGGAGGGGCGGACAGGCAGTGGTGCACACAGGGGCAGACACAGAGGCACCCCTGGAGCCGGTGGCGGGCTCCTTCTATGGGTTACCCCCAGAGGGAGGCTCAGAGGAGCAGACATGCTGAAGGCGGCCAGCAAGTAGAAGGGCCTGTATCTGAGCTCGGCCTCTCTGACTCAATGCCATTGCTCCCCCACCTTCCAGAACTGCCTGGCTCTGTCCTCCCCCACCTCCCCCTGCCACCACCCCCACCCACGGCTGCCATCATTCCCTGCTGAGGCAGCTTCATTTGTCAGCCTCGTCTTTCTTCCACTCAGCTTGTCAGGCAGTTGCAGTGAAACCTGTCACTTAGAGAGGCTCCCAGCCCCCTCCCAGGGACATCTCCACCCAAACCCTGCTGCCACTTCATTTGTTCATGCGATCATTCAGTCAACAGCTCCTCTGTGGGTCTGATCTGTCCTGGCCCTGTCCCAGGCACTGGAGACCCAAACCCATTGCCCTGGCCCCTCTCCTCAAGCAGCTCCCAGTCTGGCAAGGCACAAAAGGCATAGAGACAAATATCAGAATACTATTCAGATTTGGGTAAGAGCCACGAGCCTGGGGTAGAGAAAGCTTGAGGGGGGCCTGGGAAGGGAGACCTGACTTGTCGGAACATTTTGTGCATTGTGGGATGAAGTTCTTGAAAGGCTACACCATATGGAAGAGAGGATGGCATGGGGAAGGGTCTGGATGTGGGGAGACACAGGGTGTGTGTGGAGGGACGTGGCCTGAGGGGAAGCTGGGCCTCAAGCCTGGAGAGAGGTGGTTATCATATCCTGCTACTCTCAGGCAGGAGAGACCCACCCGGAAAGACCCACAAGGCAGAGCCTTCTGGAGCTCTGCCTACTTTCTTGGCATCCAGCTCGGGGCTAGGGGTCAGCTCCTCAGGGTTGGCTCAGGCTGAAGGGGTTCTCTGCGCATATACCCAGAGAGGATCTGGGGACCTCAGTTTCCCCAAACTAGGGTGAAATGAGATGATGGTACAGAGTGTCCAGCACAGAAGATGCTAAGTGAATTGGCTCTCCCTTTGAGGCCTGACCTCTCCAGAGGGCAGAGTTCAAGAGGGCCCCCTGGGCCCTTTAGCCCTCATTGACTTTGCTCACCTGTGTCCGAAGAGCTGAGGCCCTGGGCCTCCCAGCTCCCCTTGTACATCTCCTGTCGGCCCAGGGAGGCAGCTTAGTGGAGGGAAAGACCTCAGGCTCCAACTGAGCACACCTGGCTTTTAACTTCAGCTCAGCCACTTCCCTACTGTGTGACTTCTTTGGGTCTAAGTTTTCTCATCTGTAAAATGGGGTTAATAACACCTGCCACACAGGATAAAGATCTGAGGAGAGAGCAAGAACAAGGGTGTATACTGTCAGAGAGAGCCTGTCACTCACCCAGAGCTCAGCAGTGCTGGGCCACCCCACTCTCGCCTTGGTATCCTTGGACACCAGTGGCCCTTCCAGGGCCTAAGAAGAAAGTATGGCACACTGAGGCCTGACCATGGTCAGGGGAGGCACCTTCCACCACACCCTTCCTCATCCTTTCTTCCCCTTTTCTCCCATTCACTCACCACTTCTCCTCAAGCAAGCCCGAGTGGTGCAAGGCTGGCCCTGCTCAGCACAACTTCCCCAGGCCTGGGAGACTGGGCAGGCGGGAGCCCTGGGCAGAGGCATCAGCATGAGGTCAGCTGTGACGGCATGAGGTCATCGGAGCCCGATGGCTGCGTGCTTGCCGCATGCCCACTCACTCTTCCTCATAGTCCCAAGAAATTGGGAATGCTGGGCCCTGTTCTACCCAGGGGAAACTGAGGCCCAGGAGAGGAAGTTACTTGCCCTCGAATGGTGGAACTGAAATTGGACTCAATCCTCACTCCCTCCCACCTCCGGATCTCTGTCCCTACCCCATCTCGGCCCCAACTCCATGGATCAACAACCAGGGGGGCCAGAGGGACAGGCAGAGGTGAACTGCAGGCCACAGAGATGGGGCGTTCAGAGGATCCCTGGTAAAGAGGGTGCCAGGACCTCATGGGAGGGCAGAGGAGGACTGCTGGGACCCTGATGGCTACACATTATCACCAGAGCCAGGAGGGTGCTTCATGGTAGGGAGTGCAGGTTGGGTCCCTGTACAAACCAGGGTTACCCTCTGGGAGCTACAAAACTAGAAGGACAGAGAGGCCTAGACATGGGTGGGCACAAGTGTGGTGGGCAGGAGGGTTCAGGGCAACTGGTCTTTGGAGGGGACTGATGTCCATGAGTAGAGATTGGAGAGCAATAAGTTCAGTGAGGGGAGTGGGAGCAGATACCCTGCAAGAAAAAGCAGCAAAAGCAGGAAACAGGAATGTGAAGGGGTGTGGGGAACCTAGAAAAGTTTGATAAAATGTAGGGTGGAGTAAGGGGGAGGGAAATGAGGGAGGCTGATTGGGTTCATTAGTCAGGCCCAGGCTGAGCTTCAGCTGTGACCCAGCAACAGCTCCACCCCCCAGGGCAGGGAGCTCGGCCACCCCCACGACCTGGGAGCCAGCCTAAAGACACGGACAGTCAAGTCAACATAATGTCAAGAATGAAAGAAAACAGGAGTGTGGGCTGGCTTGGGCTGCAAACTCCTGTGCCCTGCCCTTGGCTCCAGGCCTCCCCCAGCAGCCATGGGGACTCTGAGCTAAGGAGAGGCTGAGGGCAGGGATACAGGGCAGGCGGGAGAGAGGCCAGTGTGGGGTCGGGAGCAGAGGACCAGGTGGCCACCACGGAGGGGGAGGCAGGATGGTTCCCAGAGCCTGGGGCAGAGGATGGTGTCAGCAGCCCTAAGGTTAGCAAAGATGCAGAGCAGGCAAGACAGGCAGGTATGGCAGGAGCAGAGCTGCCAGGAACAGAAGGAGCAGGCTGGAAGGGACCTTGAGCTTCAATTCTCATGCACCCCAGGAGTTGGGACTTTCTCTGGCAGCCAGCCACTGGAGCTGACTCGGAAGAAGGAAAGAAGCCATCAGATGGGGGCGTGCAGAGCCAGGGGGGCAAGGGTGCCAGTGGTGGGAGTGGGGCACCTGCGGGTAGGCTCCACGCCCAGCCACATTCTGTGAGAACTTTCTTTCCTCTTCAGCAAACTCTTACCTCCACACTCCCAGTGTGGAAGAGCCAGAGGGTGTGAAATGGAAAAGGGCAGAGCTGGGATTTGTCTCTGGGTCTGGCAGACCCCAACACCTGTGTTCTTTCCTCTATAACAGAGCTAGCAAACTTGAAAGTGGAGCAGGGTCAGACACCAATACTAATGCAGCAACAGCAATGAGAGTGACCTTCAAGCCGGATCATGCCGGATCATGTTCTGGGTTCCTTATCTATATATTTAACTTATTTAGTCACAGCAGCCCTTTGAAGTCAGGGGAAGCATTTGCCCTATTTCTATAGAGAAAGAAATTGAGGCACAGAGAGGTGTAGTGCCTTGTCCAAGATCACACAGCACAAATGGGGACTCAGGCAGTCTGGGACAGCACCTGTTTCCATAAGTAACATAATTGCATAAAACTGGCCCCAGAGACCTCTAAAGAGAATGTGAGCCCCTTCCAGGGAAGCTAGTTGCTGCTCAGGGCCAGCCAAGGTTGTCATGCTGGGAAGAAGCTCCGGCTAGCTGAGGCATCACAGGAGTTTACGCGAAACTCCTGGTTTTTAAATGTGGAAAACACCTTTAAACTTACAATGAAAAAAAAAAATGTCTTGGGCCTCCTGGGTGGCTCAATCAGGTAAGTCCACTTTAAAAAAATGAGTCCCGGGGCGCTTGGGTGGCTCAGCGGTTAAAGCCTCTGCCTTCGGCTCAGGTCATGATCCCAGGGTTCTGGGATCGAGCCCCACATCAGGCTCTCTGCTCGGCGGGGAGCCTGCTTCCCCTTCTCTCTCTCTCTGCCTGTTTCCCTGCATACTTGTGATCTATGTCTGTCAAATAAATAAATTAAATCTTTAAAAAAAAATGAGGCCCAAGATATTAATAATGTCCTACATATTTCCAGGCCAGCTCTGGCCCACAGATGTGGGACCTGAGATTCCTAGGGGAGCACGGGGAGCAAGGAGGGAGATTCTAGCTAGGAGGGCTGGGAGACATGTTTGCAGACCTGTTTCCAGCGGGGATGTAACAAAGGGACAGATGGGAAGAACCACCATGACAGGCTTAGTGAGAATATAGGATCCGAGAGAGGGGAAGGAATTGGGGATGACTGAACCCAGGTAGCGGGAAGAAAGACAGGAAGGATGTAGGGAAACTGTTCCATGTCCTGCTTTGGTGGTGGCAGCGGTGGCTCCCTTTGGGACTGGCTGAGTTGGAAGGGCTTGTGAGACATCTGGGCAGAGATGGTAGCAGGAAGTTGGCTATGTGGATTTGGAATTGGAGAGATGTGGGAGGGTGAAAGGGCCCAGGACAGAGTCAGGGAGGGGTAGAGGCCACCTTGCGTGGGTAGGAGATGAAGAGGAAGCTGGAGGAGCTGCTAGGAAGGTAGGAAGACCAAGGGAAACCACTGCAAGAGTCATTTTGAAAAGAGGGTTTTTTTCTATTTCACTAATGGTTGGGATTCCCAGAGAAGTCGGAGCTGTGCGTGGGGGAGGGGGAGGATGGAGTTGATCTCTACAGCAATGCTATTCACAGTGGTCTATGGACCAGCGCATCAGCATTGCCTGAGAGCCTGTTAGAGATGGAGAGTCTCCGGACCCATCTGGACCTATTGAGTCTGAATCTCCGGAGCTGGGCTCCTACCACTCATTTCAATGAACACGAGAGTCTGAGAATGACTGTTCTCAACTATAAAATAGCATCCTGGCACCAGCCTAAGGTTGGGGGGGTGGGGCAGGTTCTCTCAGTCTCTCCCTCTCCAAGAGGACACAGTTGCAGCAAAGAGATCACTGGCTATAGAGACACCAGCAAACACTGATACAGCACTTACCACATGCTGGCCACTGTTTCAGCTGCTGGAAATGTCTTAAACTGATCTGATCCTCACAATAGTCCGAGGAAGTAAGTTACTGTTATTATAATTATCCCCTATTTGCAGAGGAAGACGAACAAATAACGAGTCACACAGCCAGTAAATGGCAGAGACAAGATCCAGAGTCTCTGCTGATAGCACCATGCTGCACACCTGGGCTTAGCCAGCAGGTGCTTCGGGAGGAGGGAGCCAGGGGCAAATGGAAAGTAAGCTGGCATACTTCCCAGCCCACAGTGGTTGGCACATGATGGAAGGGGAGCCAGGAAGAACCTGAGCAAAGTGCAGAGTAAGCAGTGACCAGGCTGGGAATGCCCAGCATGGTCCTCCAGGGAGAGGAGAACACAGCTCCAGTCCTGGGGCCTGAACCCAAAACTATCCCTTGAGAGTCCACCCTGAGCTGTGCTCTGACTGCCTACCTTGGGTCTCTTGTAGGTTCTGGCTGTCTCAGATGGAGGTAAGTGACAGAGGGTATAGAGGAGGCTTGCCTGGGGTGGGGGAGGGTATGTGGAAACAGGGTGGGGACACCCCTGTCACCTGCTATCTTTCCAGGGAAAATATCTGCAGATGGGGTTGGGTCAGGGGCTGGGAAAGGCCACAGGGTTCACCACCACTTGTCCATCCACCTACAGAGCTGAGCAGCACGGCGGGGCCTCAGGGCCAGGGCGAGGGCCGAGGAAGCTCCCTCAGTATCCACAGCCTCCCTAGTGGCCCCAGCAGCCCCTTCCCCACCGAGGAGCAGCCTGTGGCCAGCTGGGGCCTGTCCTTCGAGCGGCTGCTGCAGGACCCGCTGGGGCTGGCTTATTTCACTGTAAGCCTTGGGGTGGGATTGGGAGGGCAGATGGCAGTGGTCACTATAGTGTGTGGGGGGAGGGGGTTGGGCATCGGGCATGGGAGAGGACATGGATGGAGCTTCAGAGTGGGATTCCTCTGTCAGCTGCCTCCTTGAGCCTTTCTTTGGCATCTTCCTCCTGTTCTCTCAGCAGAAACTTTCCTTGTCTGCCTCTCATTTTCTCTCTGTGCTTTCCAGCCTGGCCTCATCTGTCTGCCTGGCCCTATCTGCCTGACTTGGCCTCTTGGCCCTACCTCTATCCCAGGCTCTTTGACTGCACCCCCTGGCCAGGTCTCTGTGTCCCTAACTTCCTTCTCTTTCTCTGTGCTAGGAGTTCTTGAAAAAGGAGTTCAGCGCTGAGAATGTAACTTTCTGGAAGGCCTGCGAGCGCTTCCAGCAGATCCCAGCCAGCGACACCCAGCAGGTGGGGGAAAGGGGGGCTGGAACAGAGTGGTGGGACCAGAGCCTGGGCCATGTCCCTGAACTTCTCTGTCCCTCCTGCAACAGCTTGCTCAGGAAGCCCGCCACATCTACCAGGAATTCCTGTCCAGCCAGGCGCTGAGCCCAGTGAACATAGACCGGCAGGCCTGGCTAGGCGAGGAGGTGCTGGCAGAACCCCGACCGGACATGTTCCGCGCGCAGCAGCTCCAGGTGAGCTGTTCCTGGGTCTCTTGGGATTAGGGGGCGTGTCCTTGGAAGAAAGTGCAAGAGGCGGAGCCAGATCCAGGGGCGGGGGCCTATTGTAGCGGGTGGGATGTGGGTGGAGTGGGGTACGGAAAAGGGCAAATTATGATGCCAGCGCCAAAGTAAAATGCAGTGTCAGGTCTTGGGTCAGAGGGCTGCAGCGAACAGGGGCTAGAGGCGGAGCCTAGCTGAGGTCGAGGCGGAGCCAAGGGGGGGGCTGGACCAAGGAGTTGGGTGGGCGGGGCTAGGGTCTTGCCAGCCAGGTTGGGAATCCAGCCAGCCCTGAGGGCAGGGTCAGGTAAACTGGTGGCGAGCCGAGCGCCCTCTCCCGCTCACCGCCCCGGCACGGGTCCCGCAGATCTTCAACCTGATGAAGTTTGACAGCTACGCGCGCTTCGTCAAGTCCCCGCTATACCGCGAGTGTCTCCTGGCGGAGGCCGAGGGACGCCCCCTGCGGGAACCTGGCTCCTCCAGCCCGGGCAGCCCTGACTCCACGAGGAAGGTGCGGACGGGAGGCTGTGGGCAGCAGGGGGCCGGGTGCCGATCTGTAGGGGTGTGCCCTTGGTCTGCACGCGGGCTGGAACCCAGCCCGGTGCCAGCGCCTTTCCTGTACCCGCAGAAGCCGAAGCTGAAGCCCGGGAAGTCGCTGCCGCTGGGCGTGGAGGAGTTGGGGCACCTGCCGGCTACTGAGGGCTCTGGGGGCCGCCCCCTCCGCAAGTCTTTCCGCAGGGGTGAGGGTTGGAGGCCCCAGAGAAAAGTCCGGGTGGGAGTTTGGACAAGCTTTGAGAATCCCCACTTCCTCCTACTTGTCTCAGTCTGTAAATCTGTGAAAACCGAAATAGAGGTCTCAGTGACCACCACGTTTCCCCGCTGATTTGGTTTCTAGATTAGAGCAGAAGTTTGGGAAGCCCCCTCGGTAGCAACACTTCCATGGTCCCAAGACGCGTTAGACGCCTGCAGGAGGGCTCCAGCGGGGTCCCCCGGTTGTGGAGAAGGGGGTGTAGGGAGCAGGGGCTGTTTTGCTCACTGCTCCCTCTCCCTTAGAACTGGCAGGCGGAGCCCCAAACTCGGCCTTACGCAGAGAGTCCCAGGGCTCCCTCAACTCCTCTGCCAGTCTGGACCTTGGTTTCCTTGCCTTTGTCAACAGCAAATCTGAGGTGAGCGGACTTCTGGGGGAGATGAGGCCTGGGCTAAAACTGCTACTCATGCACCTTTGGGGGGCCCACCATCACTCACAGTCACAGTCCTCATCCCCAATTCCATCTCCTGTTGCCAACCCCTCATACTCCTTACTTTCTTCCTGTCCTCACCGCCTTGGGCCCCTGCGTGCCATGGGTGTACATTCTCCTCGTGTGTGTGCACGTGTGGGTGCCCAGGTGTCCCCAGCAGGTGTATGTGGGTCAGCGGAAGGACCTGTCTCTAGGCGCCACTACATCTGGGTGAGCATATCTATGTTGTTGTAGGCGGAGTGCCTTTGCCTGCCTAGAAGTATGCCCTTAGGCGTGTGCATGCGTGTGTGTGCCCCAGTGACCTTACCTGTCTGTGTACCTCCCTGCATGTCCCTGAATGTGTATACATGACCTTCCCTCTGCTCCTGCCCGGAAGCAGAGCCACCGGAAGAGCCTTGGGAGCACAGAAGGTGAGAGTGAGAGCCGGCCAGGGAAGTACTGCTGCGTGTACCTGCCTGATGGCACAGCATCCTTGGCCCTGGCACGACCTGGCCTCACCATCCGTGCCATGCTGGCGGGCATCTGTGAGAAACGAGGCCTCTCTCTACCTGACATCAAGGTCTACCTGGTCGGCAATGAGCAGGTGTGAATCTGGTCTGGTCCCAAGCTCTCACTCTCCTCCTGATCCTGACCCCAACCCCATTCCTATCTCTGTTCAGCTAGGACCTCAACCCCAGTTCCGTTCCTATCCCCCTTCCTAATACCAGTCCCCAGAACAACCCTGCCCCTCCCCCTATGCCCAACTCCAAAGCAGCCTAGCACCAACTCCTCAAACTCGGGCCTCTATCCTACGAGAGTCCCATCCTTACTCCCCTCCCAGCTTCCAGCTTCACCCATCATCTTCACTGCGGGGAGAAGCATGGCCAGAACTGGGTTTCCCCCCATGACTCCCAGAGTTCCTACTGGCCATCCTTGCAATTGCCATTAGGGGCACCCGAACGCACTGAGCCCATGAAAAACTTTTCTTGCGCTGCAAATGAGGGTTAAGTTTTAAAGAGGAGTCTAAGGAAAAACTCACTTTGGATTAAACCATCCCATAAGGGGGATCCAAAGAAAGAATGCTGCCTTCCAGAGAGACCCTGCAGGATTTCCTTCACCCAGGCAGGACCTAAGGCCCTACCAGGTGGGTAGGCAAAGGGACCCGGGCCTGAGCTCTGTCCTCCAGGTCCACAGGATGGAGGTGAGCCTGGCAGGATGTGATCAGGGAAGAGAAGCTGAAGCTTCAGAAAATTTCTGGGGAAAGGTAGGCTTTTCTGGGTGCTGCCAGGAAGGCTTCATGGAAGAAGCAGCTGTTGATGAGAGGAGAATGAGGATGGGGAGGAGTTTGCCTGGTGCAGCTGTCAGGAGAGGATATTCTAGGCAGATAGAGCAGCTTAAGTGAAGTCCTGGATGTGGGTAAGAAGTGCAGGGCAAGTTCCAGGGTTGGAGAGTGGGACTGGGAGAGCAGCCGTGGGAGGAGCTCTGCCCACTCAGGCCACCCGTGCAGCCTCTGAAGCCCAGATGGGCATTCACGACTGCTAAATATAACTCCCCACCCACACTCCACCTGTCCCTGCAGCATAGCAGGGACCTATCCCTGGAAGAGGCTCCCTCCGTGCCCTGGGCTAGTGCAGACAGTGGGGACTAGAGGGGCAGTAGTCACAACACCAACTGTTTATGTACCTACTATGTGCCCGGCACTGTGCAGACACTACGTTCTTCTGGCCTCACCGCAGTCTTGGGGGAAGAGGGCTTGTTGCAGTGAGGAGACAGGAAGTGTCTTTGGTAGGTGGGGATGGAGAGAAGTAGACAAATGTCAAAAAGGGGACAAGGCCTGGGTAGCTGATCAAAGGTGGGTGGTGAGGAAGGAAATGCATCCAGCTGGTCTGGCTGGGTTTCACATGCCTGAGAGACAAGGGGGCAGCTGTCCAGGAGGCAGGGCCTGGCCTGGCCTGGCCTGGGAAGAGGCAGCCCCATGATCCAGGACCTAGGCCTGCTCCTTACCCAAGCAGCCTCATTGCCATTCTGTGCTTACCCCACTCCCATGCTTCCTGTAACTCCACTTGGTTTCCGAAGCTGTCCAACCTTCTTGTCCCCTTCTCCCTGGCCTTGGCGGTATTAGGCTCCCAATCTGGCCAGGTGGCTTACTCCATCTACATCTCTACACCTCACCAGCCCATTGGCCCTTGCCTCTAACCCTCAGGGGACCCCAGTGGGCGCCATGGGAGGAAGTGAGGTGGTTCCCTCGGACACTGGGGATGGTTGGGGCTGGGGAGAGAGGGACTCTGAGACCTCCCTCTGGCATCTGCAGAAGGCCCTGGTCCTGGACCAGGACTGCGCGGTGCTGGCGGACCAGGAAGTGCGGCTGGAGAACAGGATCACCTTCGAGTGAGTGCCCCTCCTCCCAGGCTTGGGGCCTGGGTCCCAACCCTTGTTTGGGTCCCAGTTCAGGTTGTCCCTCTCCTGTCCCAGCGCCTCAGGCTAACTGTGTCACCGGAACTAAGGGCCCACCCCCAACTAATCCCAATCCCCAGTTCAGGCTCCGCCCCCTCTTAGACCTGTCCCTGGTGGGTTGGGGAAGAGGCGGGGCCTGCTCTCCGCCCTGCCGCAGCGCGAGGGTCCCGTGCAGGGTCGAGTTGGTGGCTCTGGAGCGCGTGGTGCGGATCTCCGCCAAGCCCACCAAGCGGCTGCAGGAGGCGCTGCAGCCCATTCTGGCGAAGCACGGCCTGAGCCCGCAACAGGTGGCGCTGTGCCTGGTGAGCCGGGGGACTGCGGGGCGGGTCAGGGGCGGCCGGGAGCGGGCTGCCTGGCTCGCGGGCTGCTGACCTGTCCCCACAGCCAGGCGAGAAGCAGCCGCTGGATCTGGGGAAGCTCGTGAGCTCGGTGGCGGCCCAGAGACTGGTTTTGGACACTCACCCAGGTAGAGAAGCAAGGCTCTGGGGCTTGGTCCCTGGAGATGGCTTGGGCCCAGAAGGAAAGGGGGCCGGGTGGGAGGCAAACACTAGCAGTGGTGCTCTCTGTCATAGGTGTGAAGATTTCCGGAGCTGGAGACGTAGCCCAGCGCTGCAGCCAGGTGAGAGAGGGAAAGGGCTCCCCCCTCTACCCACCGTGCCTCCCCTCCCAGTTGTGGCTCTGACTTCACGTTCTTACAGGGTGGCCAGCCTAGAGCCCAGAACAAGGCCACCCATCCCCCTCCACTGTCCCTCAACTCGCTGGCCGAGGCGCCCAGTAGTATCCCTGGGAAGCGGCAGACCTGTGACATTGAAGGTACTTTGGGGATGGTGGGAGCTAGGGACTAGAAGCACTGGGGACCATCGAAGGTGGGTGGTATCTGAGAGGCTTAAACTGAGGCAGGGCCCTGCATGTCTTTGGGACTGGAAGAGTGTCCACTGGGGCTAGGGGAACAGAGTGGCTGAAGGATGGGTGGGGGGGTTGGGGAGGCTGTGGTCATAGGAAGGGCAGCGGGATGGTGGTGGGCTAGCATAGGCAGGTCTGCACCAATGGGCCTCTTGACTCAATGCGCCGCCGCCCTCCGCCCCAGGCTTGGTGGAGCTGCTGAATCGAGTGCAGAGCAGTGGGGCCCATGACCAGAGGGGCCTTCTGCGCAAAGAGGACCTGGTGCTTCCAGAATTTCTGCAGCTGCCAACCCAAGGGCCCCATTCCCAGGATGCCCCACCACAGACTGTATCAGAGGTCCAGCCCCAGGGGGACCCCTCGGACTCCACGGCCCATGCGGCCCTCTGACACCTGCCCAGCAGTCCAGGCCAGCTGCACGGCACCTGGCGGGCCAAGCATGCTGTGGGCCCGCTCTGCATGCTCTGTCTGTGCCATCAGTGTCCTTGGCCCCTTCCTGCCACGGGCAGGCCCGCAGGAAGAGCTGGAAGGCAGTGGAGAGCAGGCTCAGAGGGGCCACACCCCACAGCTGCCACCACTCGGTCCCTCATTGCTTCACTCCCTCAACCCTTGCTGCCAGGCCACTGAGGGGAGGTGGGGCTAGCCTCCCCAGTACAGGCAGGCCCAGCACAGAGGGGCAGCGTTGGAGTGCGAGCCTCCCCATCCCGGGCAGAGCCTCAGCAGGGAGCAGGACGAGGGGCTGGCCCCTCGGCAGGGAGCTGGTATGAGTAAGTCCTGTGGGTGCAGGTGGGCCGCTCCTCACTACTCACACAGGTGCTGCTGGACGTACGGATTTTGAAGTTGGCCTGGGGCAGCTGGGTTTGTCCTGGATGTATGATATTGTTATTATAATAGTAATTATTATTCTCCCATGAAGTGTGTTCCTTGTGTGCCTGTCTACCCTGGGTACCCCTCCGAAACTGCACTGCCTCCGTCACCAAGGTTAGTGCCAGGAAGCCCTTGGGGACCTCAGGATGTGCCCCCTGACTTCCTGTTGTCAGAACTTCTCTTCCTGACTGCACAGAGTATTGAGGTGTGAATATGAGAGATAAGACAGAGATAGAAGGGACGGAGGAAGGGGAAGGCGGGGAAGACCCTTCGGGGGAGCCGTGCCTGTGCCCCCTGTCACCATGCTGTTCCTCATTCTCTGGATCTGAGCCGAGTACAGCATCTGGATGTCGTCCTCTGCTTCTAGTGGGGCTCGAGTGTCTGCAGACATGGCTGTGGGCTCCTTTGGACACATCTTAAGGGCCTTGTGGAAATACTGGTTGTTGCACTGGGGGCAGGTTTTGCTTCTTGTCTGCTTTGGCTGGGTGGTCATCCCTGTCTCTAGGCAGCCCACACATTGAGGGGGAGCAGGGAGGACCTCCCAGAAGGAGGGCCCAGTGTATGGGCAGAGAAGCCAGAATCAGGCCTGGTGCTGCTGAGCTAGAGGAAACCAGGGGACATGAGGACCTCGAGGGGACACCTGAGGAGTGAGGGGCCCTCCTGACCCTGAGGTGGTCAAGCTCTCTTCCCCACTCCAGTTCTTTGTGCTTGCTGTCCCCTCTGCCAGGAATTGGCACACCCCATCATAGCACCTCTTCCTTGAAATTCCTGAATCGGATCAGTTGGGTTTGCTGGCCCATCATGCCTTTCTCCAGAAGTTAAACCCAAGCTTTTCTTGGGGGCCTTCAGCCTTTTGCTCCCTCTACCCATTTTGCTTGGCTGGGTTGACCAGAACCCTTAGCTGCTGGGGGTAGGGGTGGGCTCATGACGCAGGCCTGGCCAATCAGAGTTTGGTGCAGGGACAATTCTCTGACCTCAGTCGTGGTCATCTACCATCTCCCCGGGCTTTGAGCAGATTATGCAGGGAGAGAACCTGCATGTCAGTGAAGCCAACACAGGACGGCGGGACTGAGAGATAGAAGGAGATTCCTGACCAAAGCTACCTGAACACCTAAATTCACCCAGGCTTGAAGTCACCCACCCCTAGATATCCTCGTTTAGGCAAGGCAACACATTCTTTCTGCGTGCATGTGCCTGTAGCTCTGAGTAGGTTTTCTAGGACCAGCAACTGCAAAAGTCCTACTTCGTCGTTCAGCCTGAACACCTCAGCGGAGCCTTCCCCAGTCACAGATGTTGTGGTCTAAATGCTTGTGTCCACCAGCACCCCCCCAAATTCACATGTTGAAATCCTAGCCCCAAGGTGATGGTATTAGGAGGTGGAGCCTTTGGGATGTGCTTGGTCATGAGGGTGGAGCCCTCGTGAGAGAGGTTAGTGCACTTATAAAATAGAATCTCCACCCCTTCTACCCTGTGAGGACGGAGCAAAAAGTTGGCTGTCTACAACCTGGAAGAGGGCTGTCACAGATACCAGATGTGCTGACACCCGATCTTGGACTTCCAGCATCTAGAACTGTGAGAAATAAATTTTTGTTGTTTATACATCTCCCGGTCTCTGGTATTTTTGTTATAGCAGCCCAAATGGATGGATACCAGATATGACATTCTCCGTAACTTTGTTCTCTACCATGCTGTCCGGTTTCCTTCCTTCACAGTGCTCATCCCACTCTGTAGTGACCTTGTTTACTTTACACTTATTTGCTGACAACACGATAAACATGCCCTGATGGCAGTGACCTTGTCCATCGTAGTCAGTGCTGTATCCCTTTGGCCTAGTGAGAAATGATTCTGCAGCCTCAGATAGACCCAGTGAAGGACACAGGGACAGCAGGGCAGGGGGAGTCCTGGGCAGGGGACTGCATAGCACCAGGATCATAGTCTGTGGCCAGAAGAGGGTGGAGAGACAAACCCCTGTCCCTTCCCCAATCAGCTGTAGAACCTCCCTATACTTCCTGCGCCCTGGGGTTTCTCCCTTGAGGGCAGAGACACTTTCCGCGTGCAAAGATAAAGAGGTGGGGACACCAGGTGAAAGATGGGACCTTCCCAAAGTTGGCAGATCCTGAGGCAAGCGCACCCTTCACCCACCAGTAGTAGCAGTGATGCCTACTACTCTAAAGGACCAAGAGATGCGACTGCCCCGTAACAGAGGAGGTCATGGGTCAGGTAAAAGGGCCTCTAGAGATGGGAGCTCCTGCAGGGGGAGGAAAAGGCCCCCAAGTTAGGCATGTCCCATCCTTTATCTCATCTTTGTCCTCATGACAAAATAGCCTGATGGGGATGAAACCAAGGCTACAGGAGGGGAAGTGACGAGTCCAGGATCCTGCAAGGAATGTGTTGCTGGACACAATCAGACAACACATAGGCTGTCTGACTCAGGAACACACAACAGAGAGCAGGGAGGAAACCCTGATGGGAAGCCAGCACCCTCTCGGGCGAGGATACATTGATATGGCTGCTCTGGGGAGCAGCTTGGGAGTTTCTGCTGAAAATTAAAAACACACAGCATGTGATCCCAGAAGTACCACCAGAGAATCACTCACTTTGAGGCACAGGGAGCCCCATCCCTGCTGGGCTGTGTATGACCCCCAAACTGGCAAACAGACAAATGTGGGTGGGGGTGGGGGCTGGGGGAGTGGGATAACAAAAAGGTGGTGGTAAGTCTATGCCCTGCAATACCACACAGCAGATGAAGAATTAGGTAGAACATGTTCTGCTGTGGAAAGTTCTCCAAGATGTGTTATTGTTCGGTAAAAGAAAGTAGAGCAATGTGCATGACATGATACCTTTATATAAACCACAAACACAGAGACACACTTATAAGGATACAGAAAGAACAGAGAATGTTCGAGAAGGATACATGTCAAACAGACAGGAAAATAGAGAGGGGACCAGGAGGGGGGGAGTAGTACTCAAAGGACACTTTCACTTTAGCTTTAATGCTTTTTAGATGATGCAATTAAAATAATTATAATAACAAAGAACTTCTCAAGGCCACTTCTTTGTCACTCTGACCCACCATCCCTTTCTCCAGAAGGATAATAAACTCTTTCAGCCCACCACCCACCTTGGCCTGCTTTGGCTGGCTGCTGTGTCCCTTGTCCTCAATTCCCCAACATGTCCCCTGAAGCTGTCCTAGGCTGATGGAGACCTAGTTCCCTCCTCCCAGCTCTGCACACTCAGAATCCCTCAAGGTCCTGGGCCCTCACTGCAGCGATGGGGGTCCAGGCCCACGGACAGAAGGCACCAGCTGGCCAACCCCCAGGCCCTTTACAAAGCCACCGCACTGCACAGAGCTGGACTCCTGCGTGGTTGGGAAAAGTCATGGATCCTGCTTCCCCTCACCCCACCAGATGGGAAGCCTGGAGGGGAGTCAGCCTATCCACCAAGCACCCGGTGTGAAGGAGGGGAGAGGACACATATTTGCTGACAGCTCTGCAGTCCCCAGCACCCCCATCTTGCGGAGGACACAGGCGGAGAGAGTGGGTGGGACTGCCATGAGGACGGCCATAGGACCCAAGCCTCTGAGAAAGAAATCTGCTGCCTGTCTCTGGTCCCCTCACCCCTCTTGACAGTCATGGTGACAGTAAAGCAGATGGGATGGGGTGGCCACAGGGCAAGTGCAGAGCACACAGTGACCTTGGCTCTGGCGACCCCTCCAGGGTGGGAGCAGGCAGAGCCCCCAGCTGCTACCTGGTGCCCGGCAGGAAGTGCTGACACAGCCATGGACAGATGCTCCCTGGGGCAGCCATCCCTACCCCCAGGAGCGAGCACAAGGTGCACCCTGCAGGGGGCCTGGCCTTGTGGTCAGGTGACTCCAGTGTCTGGGGGATCAGACGTTGGCACTCAGCTTTCACAGGGAAAGAAAAGCCAGATGGGGGAACACACACGGTTGGTTATGTTGAATCAGATGTCACATAGGCCAATTCACAAAAAACAGGGGGCACCATTCCTGTCCCTGGTGGTCGTGGCAGGTCCAAGAAAAGCTGAAACATGAACACATGTGTGTGTCCTGGGACTCCTGCATCGACTAAGCAAGGGGTGCTCTGTGACCGTCTCAGCTCCTCTCTCCAGGAACTGGTCTGGGGGTGGAACAGATGCAGAAAGCCAAGGAGAAGCGCCAAAGCAGCAGCATCCCACTTCCAGGCCAGCCCAGGATGCTGGTGGCCAGAATGAAGTCTCAGCCAGCTAAGAGGGGTGGGCACCAATAACCCCACTAGCCAAGTAGGCCATCATCTTCCAGCCTTATTGTTGAGGGGTTGGAGGAACCCAGAAGCCGGACCCAAAACCTGGAGCATACAGTATGCCGCTGGAACTTAGAGCCTGCAACCCAGACCAGAACCTGGAGCCAAGAGCCTAAAGTCTAAAAACTGGACTCTGGGAGTGTCTGGGTGGCTTGGTTTTTAAGCATCTGCCTTTGGCTCAGGTCATGATCCCAGGGTCCTGGGATCGAGCCCCACATCAGGTTCCCTGCTCAGCAGGGAGCCAGCTTCTCCCTCTCCCACTCCCCCTGTTTGTGTTCCCTCTCCCACTGTGTCTCTATCGAATAAATTAATTAAATCTTTAAAAAAATAATAAAAATAAAAACTGGACT